ACTTAATGCGTCTTTCCAAAGGCGCAGTAATCCCCCCTGAGGGGTCTTTTTGGCCGCGCTCTGTGCAGCGTCTACAGGCAAATCTTGCACGTCCCGAATCCCTCACGACAAGAAATCGAGCCCTTCCATTCCTTGTTAAGGTTGAGACCTTCTTGAGCAAGGTCTTATTCTGCCTTTCAAGACCTTCTATTCTAAAGCCGCTCTTAAGGCCTAATGAGGCTTTTCTTAAGCCTTTATTAGGCATCCAGCACCCATCAAACTGCGAAATCGAGCCCCTCTCTTCCTTTGGTTTAAGACATTGAGCCCATTGGGCAGCCGTGTGAAAAACAAAGTAACAACAGCGTGCGAATGGACAACAAGAAATCCAGGGTACCTGACCTCGACGTGCCAATTTCTTGTTTTGCGCTTCTGGATTTTTCTTCGCTTCTTGTCTTCGATCCAAAAAAATCAGAATTACGAAACTGGGGGGCTGGATTTGCTGTTTCAGGAATGCCAAATCCAGTCCCGCCAGTTTCGTAATTCTGCGTTTATTTTTGGACCGAAGCAAACAAGCGAAGACAAACCGAGAAGAGCAAGCTAATTAATTGGCACACCGAGGTCTGGTACCCTGGATTTCTTGTTCTCCATTTGCACATTTTATTAGCACGGCTGCCCGAGGGGCTCAGTTTCTTAAACCTATGATTTCTTATGTTCAGTGTTTCTCTGCACGTGGCCGCTTTCACAGCATGTTTCATCATATTCCATGCTTGACTAGTCGTATTGACTTGCCTGCAGCCCACGTGAGGAGCAGTGTTAAAGCACCCCCCGACCTGCTGGCGGCCGTGGATGGCTTTCTGAAGGACTTCCGACCTCAGCATCTTGTCTATGGAGCAGCATGTGAACAGAAACTTTCAACTTACAGTACATTCACCTGTATACGTACGTATGTTCCCGCACACCTGCATAGAATCTAAGCCTTGGCTTCCTATTTGCATGTGTGTTCGAGACTGAGGTTTTGGCACGTGCCCTCTAGTTGGTTCATGAAATAAGGCTCGAAGCTCTCTCTGATAGTCGCTTGGCTAGCAATCAGTCCGGAAGTTCGCCGGAAATTCATGAACTGTTAGGAGCCGCATCAAATCCATTTTTGCGTGACGTGGTTGAGTACCGCCCGCGTGTTCTTTGCCTTCTTGCTGATTTCCGGCCGCGATTTCTGTACCAAAGGCTTTAGCGTTGTGATTGCTATTGCTGTTTCTTGTACCATTATTATTATTGGTACTTCTATTTTTTTTGTTCATTTCAGGTTTTCCCATTTCCAAGGTCAGCTACAGCCTTTCAAGGCTTCCCTCCGCGAGGCCAGGGGGTGGGCCGCGTGTTTCTGCTGTAGGATTGGGTTTAGGGTTTAGGGGTGAGGGTTACGCAAGCGACAACTGCCAATGCCTCGCGGTGTTTTGCGCAAGCCTGCGGCAGGATGGCTCCTTTAGTCGTCTCATTGCGTCCCACATAGCTTGGAATTGGAAAACACCGTCCACACCTCTCCCTCGAGTTGTGGCAAAGCGACGGCTGATGAGACCTGCGCCTTGCGGTGCCGTCAGGAGTTCCTTCGCCCAGACCAACGCCTGGGAGCTGAGACGGGCCGGTGGTTCGGCGAGATTGCAGGATGGACGCTGCAGTTGGCAATCCTTTCATTCTTTGAGGCTGACATCCTGATACTGTAGCTCTGGGAAGTGGTTTGGGGGGTTATTGAAACTGGGAGGAACATGAGAGAGGAAAGCTTCTGCATTGCACATTGGGATGCATTGGGAACAGTAGTGAGTTCTTCTGTTTAGCGTTTCCCCGCCGGCTTGCCTCCCTAGTCAGGATTTCAATACTCCTGGCGCCGCCGAGAAGAAGAGGCGGGTCTTGACATTTCAGACTGACATGCACGATCATCCTGCAAACGCTCGTGAAGCTGTAGGATTACTGAACCCATGTCGATGAACGACCTGGCAACGTCGCGAGTCATCTTTTCTCGCTGTGTCAGGCGGAACTGGTCTCCGGAATCTCAAAGCAAGACTTGCTGAAGGTGGCTTGCAGATCGGGTTGCAACGCTGCACTTCAACACAGTCTGGGACCCGATATGGATGCCTATAGAAGGCGCAGGTGCGGGTTCCAGTGCAGGTTAAGGTTCATCTTCTATGCGAGCTCCAAGGCGCCGTGATGCCGTTTGCATCCAGCTGACCCAACGACGTCGCATGCTGCAAACATGCCTGTAGAGAACTTGGCAACGCCAGGGGGCAATGCAGCCTGTAGAGCAGTGAGCAGTGCAGACCGTGCAGCAGTGGGCATGCAGGTGTTCGATGACAAGATAGCAGCAGGCCTGACAGTTGAGAGTGTATGCATCTCCATCCGCCGTATTGAGCATGCGCAACGCCGAGCAACTGTCGATAACTGTCGTGTTGACCTTTCTGCGAGATCTTGTATTCCAGCAAATCAGGCCGGTTTGTTTCTGTCGTGGTTTTCGTTTCAGAACTTGTAGCTTGCTAGCATAAGGCATAAGGTTTGGTGGCAGAGGCTTACTCAAGGAGCCAGCTTCAGCAGCAGCAGAAAGGTTCATGATGTATGATCAGAGTTGAGAGACAGTCAGCCACCTCAGGTTCATTTATCAGGGATTTGTTCAAACAATAGACAACTTAGTAATTTCCAGACTGAACCTTTGACACATACGCACACACACACACACATGCGTGTGCGAGTGATTGAGTGGGTGAGTAAGTGAGTGAGCGATTGAGCGAGTGAGTGAGTGTACATGTGTGCGTGTGCATGCAGATGCGAGAAACGAGCACAAGCATCGGGATGTTTGTCACGCGTGTTGTTGCAGATGTGACGTACTCATCATCCCTCCCTCCCTCTCTCCCTCTCTC